CCCGTTGGTAGTTCTGCTCCTTCTGGATCTGCTCGACCTGGTCGAGGAGCTGGCGGGCACGGAGCTGCAGCTCCGTCAGTTTGTCCTTGGCAGCGATTTCGGGGTAGTTGTTGGTGTGTTCACCCACCTGGATGTCCAGGTGTACCCGCTGCAGGGCGAAAACAGGGCGGGGAATGTCAGGGGACCCCCATTGCTGTTGACACCCCCTTTCTGGGTTTGGGAGGTCCCCCCTCTCCCCCCAGTTACCAGTTTGCCACCGGCAAAGAGCGCCATGCGGGTGGAGTTGGAGTGGAGGCAGATCTGGTGCTCGCCGGGTGTGTGGGAGGTGAAGGTGAAGCGGCCCTCGGAGCCGTACTGCCGCGACAGCACCACCTGCGGGACCACCACCGGGACACGGCCACCGTCACCCAGCGCCTGACCGGACTGGGGGGACACTGGGACAGCCCCCACCTGTCCCACGGACCCTCTGCCCTGGCTGGTGGGGCAACCCGTGCTCCCCAGGGAGCCCTTGTCCATGTTGGGGGTACGCTATGTAGCCCAGGGATCCCACACCCAGGCTGGTGGGCACCCCATGCACCCCAAAGACTCCACGCCTACGATAATGAGCACCTCAGGGACCCTACACCCAGGATAGTGGGGCTGGCTTGCAGCAGCTGGTGGGCACCCCATGCACCCCAAAGACTCCACGCCCAGGATAATGGGCACCTCAAAGACCCCACACCCAGGATAACGGGCACCCTGTGTATCACAGGGACCCCCTGTCTGTGTTGGGGGGTATGTTGTGCACCCCAGGGACCCCACACCCAGGATAATGGGCACCTCAGGGACCCCAAAGACCCCACACCCAGGATAGTGGGCACCCCGTGCATCACAGGGAGCCCCCTGTCTGTGTTGGGGGGTATGTTGTGCACCCTAAGGACCCCACACCCAGGCTGGCAAGTGCCCCATGCACCCCAAGGACCCCCTGCCCCAGCTGGTGGGCACCCCTTGCACCCCAAAGACCCCACGCCCAGGATAATGGGCACCTCAGGGACCCCACACCCAGGATAGTGGGCACCCCATGCACCCCAAAGACCCCACACCCAGGACAGTAGGCACGCTGTGCACCCCAAAGACCCCACACCTAGGATAATAGGCAACCCAGGGAACCCATACTCAGGACAGTAGGCACCCTGGGCACCCCAAGGACCCCCTGCCCGAGCTGGTGGATGCCCCATGTACCCCAAAATCCCCCTACCCCAGCTGATGGGCACCCCACACACCCCAAAGATACCACGCCCAGGACAGTGGGTACCCCATGCACCCCAGGGACCCCCCCAAACCCGCTAGCAGGCACCCCAGGGACTCCACACCCAGGTTGGTGGATGCCCCATGTCACCATAGG